GAGGGGTCTCACCTGCCCACCAAAGACGTGTGACATAGAACAGAGGAGCTCCGGCTTCTCGGCAGACTGACCTTAACGCTGAAAGGAAAGCATGCAAGGAAAGGCAAAAATCTCAGGAAAGGACATTTGGAGGACAGGATGCCCCTCCTCCTGAGCGGACACCTGCTGCTGACCGGAACGAAGGAAGGAGCCACGCTCCCCGACAAGAAAGCAGCTAAGCCACTAATCCCCCAGGGTCCTCGAGGTTGTGGACAAGCTACAGACACACCACCACGTCCCCGCTGGGAACCAGAAACCCACCAGCAGGCTGGGTAACTGTGGCCGGCGAGGTGACAGCCGCAGATCATCCAAGATGGCACGACGCTAGAATGACCCGACCCACCGCAGCAGGGGAAGGCCACATGCCGAAAACTCACCCCTCGCCCGCCCTTGAGAAGCTGCCAAGAAACCACTCCTCCGGAACAGGAGGTGCCTGTGTAAAACACTCGTGCTGTGCTGCACCCATCTGGACGGATGCATGCGTAACAGAGAACCTTCCAGGCCCTGGAGCCTCATCAGTGGACGAGACAGGAGCAGGAAAACCTGGCTTCTCTCAACCTTGCCACAACTTAGCTGTGTGACCTGGCGCTGCCAATCTAACTAACTTCCCTGCATGTCAGCTGCCTCCGCCCTGAAAAAGGTGGGCTGGATTCATCTAGAACACCGAAGTCAGCATCGGGCAAAGTCAGCCATCAACGGCTCCCTGCAGGCAGGGGGCTTACATTCCAATCAGGATTTTTCTTGGGTCATTTTCCATTGTAGCTTTTCTTATTCGACAAAGATAATTCGATAATGGGGCACCTGGCTGGCTCCGTCGCTTAGAGCACGTGACTCTTGATCTTGGGGTTATAGGTTCGGGCCCCACATCAGGCACAGAGATGACTTAAAAACGATAGTAATAATAAATAATTCTATAAATAATGATACCAGCGGACACCTGCTGGCACCACCTTGTGCCAGGCTCCCAGCAAAGAGCTCTGCATTCACGCTGAAAAGCACCCCACGTTGGACACTACACCCTGTTTTGAAGAGGAAGAAACTGAGGCGTAGAGGAGCCCACATGGGGTGCCCATGGTCACCCAGCTGCCACTGAAGCAACTGGAAATAGGCTGAAAAGATGAGACCTCCGTCGATCAACAGATAAGGTTCTGGCCTCTGACACGTAAGGAGGAAAATGGCAACCTGGGGAGCAGAGAAGGCTTTATGACACATGAGGGTAACTAGGGCAGATGGGTTGTTACACCCAGACTTGCCCGCGCCCCTAAGAGGTTCGACAGCCTCTTGGTTTTTCCGCACGAGAAAAAGAACCCACAGCCTTGAGCAAAAACTCTTGCAGGCAGCCAACGCTTCTGCCCAAAGGGACTGACAAAATGATATGACATGATTGATCCCAATCATGCCCGTTCCTCCAATGGCTTCAAATTAAGTCATCTTTTTTAGAATAGCACGACCATTTTAATTTTTTAAAAGACAGAGGGGAAGAAACTCTTACATATTTTACAAAATGAAATAATCATCCAGCGAAATAGGAAGGCACAGAACGGACCCATCATCTTCTGATCAAAATGTACTTCGCTAATTAACGGCCACTAGTCTCCAAAGAGTCGCCCCTCGACTAGTTAATAAAGCCCCATTATACTTCACTTGAGAGGTGAACATTTACATCGCAAAGGGGGATGAATGAACTGCAGGATTCAAAGCCCTTCCTTCAGATCGCTCATTAAAATTCTGGTCAAAACGGATTTTTATTTATATGATACATTAAAGAATATTATGACAGTACTAACATGAAATCTGCTCCTCACTGCCAGGGCTTTGCTTTCATATTAAGTTACAGTTTCTTTCCACTAGTCTTGTTTTAACACCTCCACGAATATTTCTCTGGCGAGTGCTAGCAAAGACGGATGGCCAGAAAGCAGAGAAATGCATTTTAACCGAAACCCGCGCTGACGTATCATTGACAAGCTCCTCACCCAGCCCCCGAGGAGGGGCGCAGTTCACCCCTCACCGGGACCCCGACACATCCACACACAGAAGTTTTATTGAAGGGAGATAAACAAAAAATAAACAAGGCTTGACTTAAACTCCTAGACTCCCTGCCAGCCAGAGTTTGGCCTCCAACACTAACTTCAGTCTGAAATCCCCGTGGCCAAGCTCAAATTCTATCGGAAAATAACCGTTGACAAGAAAGGCACTTTCTCCCCATCCTGCCCCAACTCCCAACCAGCACACACCTCGCCAATTCCCCAGCCGCTTCCCTGGAGCTGAGCAAAAGAGTCCTGTGAAAGGGTGCCCCTCCACACGGCCGGCCAGAGTCACCCCGCGGGATGGTATCACGGGGTCTGGGTGAATCACCCAACCAGGGACCTTCAAAGTCCACGCACGCTGGCTACGGTTCTGCTCCTCACAGCCTGCCCACCACCCTGCACCGGGTCCTTTGCCCGAACGGACAGGTGATACCCCTAGATCCCACCAAAGGATAGCTCACCGGGCAGGGGCCCGGTTCTGGAGCTAGGCTGCCCATACCCCACATCTCAGCCCACGTGTGCCTCGGTTTTCTCATCTATACATTGGACATAATCCTAGTGCCCACCTCTCAGGACACAGGCGAAGACTGGATGAGTCGATAGACATAAGGACCCTACAACGGTGCCTGGCACATAAATTCAATTAACGTCATTATGATCACTAGGCCTCTCTCGGCGACTGGTATGAGAGCCTAACAAAATTAACAGTAAAAACAGCAGGTAATACATACGGTATTACCACGCACCAGGTCTTTTTTTTTTTTAAGGACTTTACCTTTATTAACTTATTTAATCCTCAAAAAAACTCGGTAAGATGGGGTATATGAGATTCCAAGACACCAAATGATTTGCCCACATCCACGCAGCGAATGAGGGGCAGGGCCGGGATCCGAACCCAAGCTGCTGAGCTTGAAAATAACAAAAAGAAAGATGATTAAACCAACAAAAATAATGATAATGGTGACGATGAGGAGGGATGAGGCCCTCACCCCGTGCCGGGCTCTTTCACTTCTCCACAGCAACCTTGTGAGGGAGCTACCCCCATCACTCACCTTTTACAGAAGAGCAAACAGGCCGGGAGAGATGGTTTGCTCAGTGTCTTGGGACCTGAGATGCAGATGGAGATAACAGATAGGAAAGTCCTTGGGAAAGAGTGCCATAAAAAGCAAGGTATTGTTATGCAATCTCTAAAACTCGACGGAAAGATGTCCTCCCCCAACTGATATAATATTTGTTCACATCTAAACGTCTTGACAATCCACCTAAAACATCCCAGACTCCAGGTTGCGGGGGGGGGGGGAGGTGCACATTTTGACAAGGTCAAGAAATAGTCTATCTCGTTTTCAAGTTGAATGCATCACCGAAAAACCAAATGCCAGAGTATGTTAAAATGAAATACAGCTTTTCTGGTTTAAAAAAGAAAAAAAAGTGGTGGGGAGCGAGGGGTGGGCAACAAGAGGGAAGAGAAAACAGGTCAAACCCATGGTTTGACCAAGTCAGGGATTTTTCCAGTTTCCCTCTAGGTTAATCTGATCTAGTTCTGGGTGATCAAATGACTAACCTGGAAATTTGAAGATTCACACTTATGGAAGAAACAGCAATTCTTCCAAACCCAGGAAATACTGCTAATTCTGGAAAGCCTCTGAAATGTCAAGGATCACACACAGTTTACACAGTTAGCAGTCCGAAAGTTTGTGCTCAGTACGGAAATAATCTAACCTCTTCGGTTCCTTGATTCCTATTATTTGCTTAATCATTAGGGGGAAAAAATGCCTTAAGAAAGTATTTTTGCTCTATTTACTTAAGAGATTTGTGTTTCCTTTGAAAGAAAAGAAAGGAAAAGAAAAATTACATGGGGGGAAAAAAAAAAAGGAAGGAAGGATGGATCACATGGCAGGCTCCAGACCTGAAATTCTCAAAATGTCATCCACAAGTGCCAACTTTTTCTTCATTAAAGTGCTTCATCTTCTCTCCCTTTACACAATTAAAAGGTTCCACCTGTGGGAGACTATGCTTGAAGAAATAAATGGAATTTGCAAAAGCAACAACTCTCCCTTTATGACCTGTAATCGGAAGCTTCACCTTTTCTCCCCTTCCCTATAAGAATGCCAAGGCCACAAGCTACAGGAAAAGTCTACCTCTCAATATTACATAGGGAAGAAAAAAGTATAATTAAAACGTGCGATTTTAACATGTTAAGCCCATAAATTTCACCTTCAGTTCCAGGTAGCTCTGTTCTCATCCCCATAGCTGGCAAGCTCAGCAAAAACTATGTTAGCCACACACTCGTGAAAAAGTGAAGGCCGATCTCGACCCTCTAAGCAAATCTTGTAGTACCACTCCTCCAAGGTTATAACACACTCAGAGCTTCTCCCCCAGGCCCCAGCACTTGAAAATGTGCCCTGATTGATCCCACCAACCTGAAACCAAGACATCCAATGCCTCCTCTGTCAGATTCAGGGCTTTATGGGTCTACGAAGTTGTTTCTCCAAGGAAAGACAAGCTGTTTACTCAAATTCTACTCCTCTCCATAAACTCCAAGTTGTAAGGGCCTCAAAAGAGAACCCTCCAAAAGACAGTCACAAGGAAATGTCCACATTCTCCTGATAGGATCTTGGCAACGCTTAAAAAGTAAATAGAACATTTGCATAAATATTGCAACAGACGGAGCTCCGTCCTGCCACGAAGAATCAGGCTTGCCCCTGCCCCGTTGGATGCTCAGAACCCACCTTGGGATGGCTAAATTGCAGACGCACGCGATTATCTTGCGGAGCTCCTTGCCTGGCCTGGACTCTCACAGCCACATGCTGATACCCTGAAGGTACCTGAAGGCACCAGGTTTCAACACTTGATTGCCAGTACTCTGTTTGAAATTCAAAATCCTTGGCAACCATCTCTGAGTGCTAAAATCCTATTACTGATTCTCCTACTTACCTTGGGTTGCGCCCGACGAGGAAATGCAACTTTGGGGTCAATCTGGGGGGGGGGAAATGGGAAAGTAAGAGTCAATTCCAGTATTTGGAGGAGAGGGAGAAAAAAATATGATTAATCACCTAATTATTAATCACTCATTTCTCAGGCTTATAACCCAGCTTTTAGTAACTTCTCAGGCAACTCAAAAGTTCCTTAAACTTTGATCCAAACTTTACTCATCCCTCCCACAATGTAACAAATAAAGGAGCCTCTCTAAAATGTCCTACCATGTATTTCAACGTGTGATGTTCTTAATAAACCAGATCTCACATGTTCTTATCTAAGCAAGGGCTTCTCTTCTGCAGACACTGGACATTGAATGGTACCTGCATCTAATTTGCAATGCATGACTGGGAGAAAAGATGGGACCATCATCTCTGAAAAAAAAAAAGCGTAACTTGAAAAATTAAACGTAAGAATTTTTCAGCAGTCGGTAACTGGATAGGAGATCTTCTCGCCAGTGATGACTAAACAAGGCAGGTGGAAAAGGGGATTCTAAAAATTTTTTAAATCATCAACATCCAAAAACTCCCCATGGACATCCAACACTATGCTCGGCTTGAGTTCATTCATTCGTGTTGGCAAAAGTACAGTTACCTGAGTTAGCCAAAAAGTTCATTCTGTAGTTAGACCACAAGAGGAAGCAGGTGTCAAAAGCTATGGAGCCTAACCCAGTTCTTAAAAAATAATAATAATACTACAATAAGATAAAAGGAAACACACCCGCTAAAACTACCTGGATTTTAAAAATCACAGAGGGTAGAAATCTATCAGCAACCTAAACCCAAATTATAAAAGTAAGGCCATCATGGGGAGAGGGTAAAAAAAAAAAAAAAAAAAAAATTACTGAAAAAAAGAAATCGGAATCTACTGTAACAATTAGGGTATTCTTCCTACCCCAACCCCCGATCAGAATGGAAAAACATCCTCCACCCCCAGATCAGACACTCAGCAGAACACATGATTCTCAAAAGGGGAATGGCTTTAAAACTCAAAACAATTCCCATGGAAGTATTTGAATCTAACAGGCTGATCCGAGGTGGGGACAGAAAATACCGGGAGGGACAGAATTTTAAAAATCCCCATTATTGGTTTTCATTAGACTTCTAAATGTTACAAATCTTTGGGTAAAACTCAACACAGAATATTGCTACAAGTTATTTATTTATAGGCTCTGGCTTTCATAATACAATTTTTCCCTTTTAAAATGTAAACCTGAACCTTGTTTTCAGTTCTGCTGTGGGGCAGCAAAAAGAGTAAGGCTGTGGGACGAAGCACGGGGGCGGGGGGGGGGGGGCAAGGCACACCAAAGACTTCTTGTGCCCAGACCTACATCCCTTAGGACACCCCAGCTGGTAAGACAAAGATTTACCACTTGTCTTAAGGTGGTTTAAAGACCTAATAAAAGTCCACAGCATGTTTTTTTACCTTTAAACATCACCTGAGAAATGAGGGATTACTTTTCAAAAACTAAAATAGACAAAAATCTCTGATCTAAGAAACTAACCTCTCATCAAGATTAACATTACCACATCTACAGGTGTATTCAGCACTGACTAGAGCTGTCTACAAGAGAGATACAACAGGTGTGGATTTTCCATTCTGTTGACCAAACATAAGACAGATGTGTCTTTTTATAAACACTCCCCCCAGAATACGGCTTTTGAGCTGACCAGCACACAATTGCAGTAAGAAGTCACCTTGTTTGTGGAGTAAAAGGTGCGAGACATGTCGGGAGAGAGACCAGGAGCTGCGGGGGAGGGACAGGAAGCCCTGAAGAAAGTGGAACACTCAAAAAATATCTAAAATTATAAAACTCAAAGCCAATTCAGAATTCCTGGATGGTAGGTTTGTGATAACAGCATGTCAGACCACCAGGCGCGTTCTTCGGTGTGCAAAGTTTACACGCTGAAATCTCCAAAGGAGAAGACAGGTCAAGGTAAGTATGGCAAATCCCAACCTTTTGCACATCCCTGTCAACTATTTTTTTTTAAACAAACGAAAAAGAAAACTACCAAAAATTAAAACATTAGTTAGTTAGGTACAGTTCTACTTACTGTAGCTACAAATCCTCTAGGAAAAGACTAGGGTACTATTTTGGATGTGAATGGCCGTTACCTAAACAAAGCTTTTAAGGTAACGGTAAACAAGATCCTCGTTTCCATGTCAATAAACCAACCGCTTCTGCCTCCTGCACTGAACGTTGAAACAAAGTCAAAATCTAGGTTATACTAATTAATAGTGACCAAAACATAAACAATTAGGGAGGGAAAACCGCACGTTTTGCACCTGATACTGAGGGCTATGACCCATCAGGCACCATAGAAACCACATACTATTTCTCCTACCCAGGGTGGGGAGACGGAGTGAATAATAAATTCCTGAATTTGCCTTGAAATATTTTCCTCTTTAATTTTGCTAGCTTTTTGAAACGTCTGACCAAGAAGTCAAGAGGAAAAAAACATTCCTCAGACATCCATTATCACCCTACAAATGACTGTCCCTAAAATTAAATTATCTAAAAGCGCAAAAAGGCTGGGCTGCAAGCTATGGCAAGTCCAGCACAATTGATAAAGCAACTTAAAGTGCCTGGGGTCCTCTCTTGGGGGCTAGGGAACATGCATCTGACCTCTGATCAGAGAAACAGGGTGAATTTGCAAAATAAATTCACGTGCACCAAAGGTGGCCAGGTTTCTTTCCCTTTTTTCCCTTCCCCTCAATGTTAAAGCCAAAAGGGGCTTGGAAGATCACCCTGTTCCACTCCTGTATTTTACAGAAAAGGAAACTGAGGCCCCGCCGAGGCAGGGAACAACTTGCCCAAATTCATAAAGGGCAGCTGGGACTAGACCCTGATCCTTTGCCTTACCCCACCACCTACCACACTCCCAAGCAACCCAGCACTGCATCCCAATGTCACCTCGGGGGCCCTGCTTTGGCAGATATATAAAAACTGTGGGGAGATTCTAACAGGCATAAAGGGAAGGGAGAGCCATAAAGCCAACACAGGGGTCTAAATGAAACACTACGAGCTATCCGCCCCCCCCCATGACTGTACTAACATCTTTCTTCCCTTCTCTAATCTCTACCTAGAGACTTTTCCCCCTCTCCACACGAGTCTCTGAAACCTTCTAATGCTATAGAAGTACCCACACTCAAAAAATAAAGGATCTAAGGGAAAAAAGCAAAACCAAATCACTTGGAAACCCAAGGCCTTATCAGTGTTAGATTTCAGCTCCATCTGGAGTCACCCACTGGATGCCCAGCGTGGCTCTGGGGGGTCTCCTTCCCTTCTCAAACCACATTCCAAATCCGAGGTGCCCCAGGAGAAACCTGTTGCCTGGACCTGGGATTAGCGCCCCCTCGCCTTCCTCCCGGCCCCAGTCCCTCCCGGCTGGCCACGAAGCGGGCTGTGCCTTCTAAAAGCCAATTCCCACAGCCACAGTTGGTAACGCGTGCTGTGCTCGGCTGACAAAGAAAAGTTGCCTTTGCTCTGTGGTGCAGTTTCCTTGCATGGTCCCTGGGCCCCATAGATAGCCTCTCCCCGCGCAGACCCCTCCCCCAGGCCTACGCTGGGCAGCATCTGGAGCTGCAGTGGGACAGGCTCTAAACAGAAAACCCCAAACCGAGCCATGGCAGAAAACTTTAGAGCCAACTCTCGAGCCCTGCTTATCACTACCCAGTTCTCAGCACAGAAGCAAAAGAAAGCACGGTCCCTTTAAATGGGGCTGTCAATGCCCAGATGGGTCCTGAACAGGGGCGAACAACAACAACGACAGAAAGCAACCTACCGTCTTGGAATCTAACTCATGGTGGGGCTGACCTAATACTTTATCTACACTTGCTGGGTCTGCGAACGTGACGAAACCGAAGCCTCTGAAATGAGACAAAGAGGGAGAAAAACAAACAAGAAAATGTGACACCATTGAAAGCAACAAGGAGTGAGCCCTCCTGCAGAATGGAGAGCCAAAGTTGCCCCCTCGCACCCCCGCGGCCCACAGCCCTCCCCCAAGGCCCCTCCACCTCGCAAGAAAACACATCAAGGTTAACCGGGGAAGTGGAACGGGGGCAGGGCGGGTGGAGGTAACTTGGAAAATGCTGGTGTCTCCACTCTTTCGCCACCTCAGTCTCCTCTCCTCCTCCCCTTCCCTTTCTTAACGCTTTGTTTTATTCTGAAGAAAACCCGGCGCTCAGAAGAGATTCATCCAGCTTTCTGAAAGGGGCTGAAGAGTTTAGGGAGCTGGGAGTATGGGGAAAGCATACATTAAAAAAAAAAAAACTATGTAGAAAGTGAATGAAGCTGAACGTCATTTTAAACAGGAGAAAAAGAAGCGACGGGAAAACGACTTAAAGCAGAGAGATGGGCATCTATGTATCCAGAGTTCAGCCCCAATTAACAATAACCTTTCGGGTTATGGGGGCGGGCGCGGGGGGGGGGGGTGGAATAGAGCGACGTTCGAAACTAGCCACATGCCTGAGCCCCATTCTAAATCCGCTTAGCTACTTCCGAAGACACCTCCAAAAATAACACTTAAACTTTGTTCTAAAATAAAGACAAAATCCAGAAAGGAATGGTTTACCTGGAGCGTTTCGTAGTGGGATCTCTCATGACCATACATTCTCTAATTTCTCCAAATTTGCTAAAATAGTCTCTAAGGCTATCTGTAGAGAGAGAAAGAAAGAGATGGGGGGGGGGAGAAGGTGTGGAAAAAAAAAAGCAATGCAAATTTTGATCAAGGACAAAAACCAAAAGTAGTTTTCTGTTGTTATTCTGTTTTGTTTTTGCATTTTTTGCACACGCGGGGGAAATTCGGCAACAGAGGTCGCGTAGAGGGCTCTGAAAGGATTTGCTATTTAAAAAAATAACCTTGCACAGGAGAAGTGGGGAGCCAATGGCGGGGGGGGGCCTCCTACACCGGGATAACAAAGAGCAATAAAGAAGCCAAGAAGGGGGGGACCCAGACGTCCCCCCCTCCCTCCCTTACCTGGTGAGGTCTGCCAGCTCAGTCCACCGATAAACATTTTACTAGAGGGAGAAAACATAACAGAAGTGAGCACCGATGTCAGATCGGCCATTTTGACGTGTAACTTACAAAAGCTAAAAGGAAAGCGGGGGGGAGCGAGCGAGCGAGAGCCGGGAGGTGGGGTGGGGGAGAAGGTGACGGCGAAATGCAATCCAAAGGTGTGTAACTTCCACGGGGGGGGTGCGCGGGAGGGGCGGGGGGGCGCGGGAGATGCCCGGCTCCGCGCACCGCCGTCCCCGCCGCTGCAAGGAGAGCGAGCCCGAGGCGGCGCGGTGGGCAGCGGCTGGAAACTTACCCGGGGTCGTGCTGGGAGTCGTTGGCGCTGCCCGAGGTGCCTTGGCTCCCATTTGCCTCCATATCTGAGCCCCCCCGCCCCCCCACCCCCAAAAAACCGAGCCCCACAGCGATCGGAGCGGAGCGGCGGCCGGCTCCGAGCCCCGAGATCTCCCGCTCCCTCCTCCCCCTCCTCCTCCCCCCCGCCCGGGCTCCTCCGAATCTCTCTGCGAGCGGCGGAGCCGGGGCAGCGGCGAGAGCCGTCACACGTGGGCTCGGCTTAGCTCAGCCCCGCTGCTCGCACACCCCCCCGTCCCCGCCCCCCCGGCCCATCCCCACCTCTCCCCCTCCTCCTCCCCACCCCCATCTCCTCCTCCTCCTCCTCCCCCTCCTCCCCGGCGCACGTGGGGCGGAGTTCTAGAACGTCGTGTAACCAATGCCGGTGACGTCACGCACCCCGGTGCGGCCCCCGCCTGCCCGCGCGCGCACACTCGGCCCCCCGCGGCCGGACCCACGGGGGCGGTGCGCGAACCCCGCGGCCGGAGGGGGCCCCGCCTCTAGGCGGGCCGGGCGAGGGGGAGCGCACCCCGACTTCCCTGGATCACATGGGCTGCGGGGGGCGGGTGGATCGGGGGAGGGGGAGGCGCGGGGAGCTCGCGGCCGCTCCTCGCTCGGGCAGGGGAGAAGACGCCCCCCACCCCCTCTAGTTCGGCCTCTCCATTCAAGTTCGCCGGCCCCGGCCGCCGGGATCCGGGGATGGCACCAGCCGCCCGCCTAGCCCTGCGCCCTTTTTCCAGCCACCGCGCAGAAATTTAGGTCAAGGACGTCGGGATCAAACCCAAACCCTGGCGCTCCTCGGCGGGCCCCGAAACCCCCCAGGATCGGGGAGCTTCAGGATTGCGGAGACCCTCCCGCACAAACAGCAGCCACAAGTTTTATTTTCCTTTGGCTCTGGAAGTTCTCTCTGGCTCTGGCTCCACACCGGCACGTCTTGCGCCGCTCCCCGCCCTTCCCCGGCAGAGGTATGAATCCGTGCCGGGGAAAGGTTATTTTGGAACTTTGAGAAACTGACGCGATTCCAGTGGTGAGAAAGTGCCGAAGAAAGGGTTTCCGCGTTAATCATACAGAGTTTAAAAAATAGAATAAAATGGGCTTATAGGGGTCAAGGTCAAATGGTTGGGGTTCAAAGTAAATTTTTGTATGTAGTGAGAAATACTCTTGAAGCATCTCTGGGATGGCTGGGAAGGGTGGTTGTTTCCAGGAAACCCCTCTCCAACCGGTTCGTTATATATTTTTATAATTTCTATACGGAGATAGTAAAATGCATGAGGTTGAAAGAGCCCCAGGACCCCCACCCCCATCTGGGAAGGTGGTTGAGGGTAGCAGAAGGCTTCAGACACACTCACCCACTACCACCTTGGTAGCAGTGTGGTGCTGCACAGGTCCTCGCACACAGTAGGTGCTTAATAAGTACGGGTTTCATCCCTCCCCGCCCTGAAAACCCCAAAAAGAGGATGCTGGTAGCTTCCTGAAGGCATCGCACACTTCTCCAGCCGATTCCAGGCTGGCTAGATTCAGACTGGATTCAATTTATGGGGTATTAAAAACAATAAGGATACAATTATCCATATTGTTTTAAATTATTACAATAAATTGAGTTAATATGGCATGAGGGGCAACATAAAGTTGTGGTTCATCCAATACTCAGATTATGTTAAGTATGAATTGATGCCCAATTAACACTTTTCCATTAATTTTCATAGGATTAGGACACAATGGAATACACTCAACAGCAAAACTATACCAAATCCACTGTGGGTCGTGGCAAAGTGGAATATTTGGAAAATCCCAACACTAGCCAAAGCCTTGGATGACCAGATTCTTAATCTCCCTGCCTCCTAAATTTGGGATAATTCCTCACTGACAGGATTGATGGGGTGAGAGGAGAGATTGAAGTAAGTAAATATAAAAGTCTCTTTTTTATTGCAAACCTATGCGGGTTGTGCTTATTACCAATCATTACTTACTATGATGTTTTTTGAAGGCACTTTAGAGCTTGAAACCACAAACCCAAGCATTTTCCCGTCACTCCAAGCTGCTTCCTAAATCATCTGGGGTCCCCATGTGTTGAAGAGCCCGTTGTTATTATGGTGATTGTCTATTATGACTATTCTCAATAACAAAATGCAGACAACAGAGCTAATTGGATTTTGTTTGGGATTTTTGCACTAGAACCACAGACCATCAGAGGTAGAAAGGCCTTTCCTGATCCAACCCTCTGGTTTTTTCATCAGGGTCCCAGAGGAGCCAAGCTCACCAGGCTACACCCTACCCCCACTAGTCAGTCAGCTCCTAAGAGGGGCTCTGGCCATCGCTCTGTTGCCCTTTGGCTCTGTTGCATGCATATTTATTCTGTCCTTCACAAGGCAAGAGTGGGGTGCCCTTGTTCCCTGTTATAGACCTATGCAAGCTGACCCTGAACAGAATTAAAACCCCAAGAGGGGCTAGCACTGCAATTATAAAGTCACTGGTGGAGAGAGAGCTTGATCTTGTATTTCCATGACTACATTGTTTTTACTTATTGATTTTTCATTTATATGGTGTAATATTTACTCTTCTTATATAATTCTATGAGTTTTTGACAAATGCATAGGATTGAATTGTCTCCATGTTAACGAATCTGAGATGCAGAAGAGTTTCATTGTCCCCCAAAATTCTCTCTTTCTGCCCTATTGCACTATGTTATTTGGAATGCCTTATTATTTATTATGCATTTCTTCTCCAGCTCACTCGCTTAATGCAGCCCCTGGGTCAGGAGAATTCCAGCAGAATGCGATGTCAGTCTTCTACCCTCTCTACTGCCCATGACACCGTTAGACACTCCCTTCATGTAACTCACTCTTCCCTTGGCATCCTTGATGCCCACATTCTTTTGGTTTTCCTCCTACCTCTCCAGCCATTTCTTCTCTGTCTCTTTACCCTGACTCCTCCTCTGCTTTTCTTTTAAATACTGGTGTTCATTCTCTTCCCCAGCTACACACCCTCCCTGGATGAGCTCCTTTGAACCGTGGGTTTCAATACTACCTACTTGCCGATGCTACTCAAATTAAAGTCTCTGGCCTGAGTTCTCCACAAAGGCTCCAGGCTCTGGTTAATTTCCTATTCACTGTCTGCACTTCACCTTCCTGGAGGTACCCCAAACTCAACATGCATGTCCAAAAACGCATGCATTTTCCCCCTGAACCTAAAACTCTTTTAAGTTTCACGATATGGGTCAGCAGAACCCCAGCCATCCTAGAGACAAGGTTGGCCCTTCTCCAGGTTGACGTCTTCCCATGTGTGATCTGTCTTGAAGGAGTGTGGGTTTCACTTCCTAAGTATCTCTCAAATTCATCTTTCCTGCCGCTGCATCCCACATTTCCCACTTGAGCCCCTGCAATAACCTTCTCCCACACCATGTCTTACTCCATTAATGTACCTGGAAAGCTTTCTCTGACCGGGTCAAATCCCCCTTGGAAGGCAGTTATCTTACCAGAATGTCCTCTATGTACCTTACCCTGTGCAGTCATTTGCTTTGTTGCTCATCTCCACCACCAAACCATAAGCTCTGCCTTCCACATATTAGCACAGTGCCTATTAGTGCATGGTTGACACTCAATAAATATTTGTTGAACAAATGAAAGGATGAATGAATGAAGGTCAACATCTAATTTTATTGTAGGGTTTATTGTATCCATGTCCATAAGTCAAATTGGCTGCAATTTTCCCTTTTTGTGTTGCCTTTGTCTGGTTATACTGGCCTCATAAAATGAACTAGTAAATGTTCCTTCTTTTTTCATTTTCTGGAACAGTGTGTATAAAATTGGAATTATGTGTTCCTTGAATGTTTGATAGAACTTTCCGGTAAAATGTCTGGGTATGGGATAAACATTTCCTAGGTTGATTCTTAACTACTGATTCCTTTTCTTTAGTGGCTATGGATCTCTTTAGGTTTTATATTCTTCTTGAGTCAGTTCTTACACATATTTTTCAAGGAAATTATTCATAGCAACTAGGTTTCCAAATGTATTAACAAAATGCTGTTGATAATTTCCTCTTAATATATTTTAATCTCTGCTGCAACTATCCATCATGTCCATTTATTCATTCCTAGTATTACTGTATATGTGTCTTCTCTTTTCTGGATCAGTGGTGCCAGAGATCTCCCTTTATTTAACTAATATTTCTTCCGTCTACTAGTGTTTTCAAAGAATCAGCTTTTAATTTAACACTACTTTTTGGTTTTGTTAATTTTTATTTTTATATGTTATTATATATCTTATATTCTTGTATGTAAGAATAGGAACATATATACCATATAACTAAGAATATATAGCACATGTAAGAATATGATACATATTGTGTACTATTAATATATATCCAGTATTATTTTCTTCTGCTCTCTTTGTGTTTATTCTCTTAATGTTTAAGCCTTTTTTTTTTAATTGGTGGCTTAAGTAATTAATTTGCAGCCTTCTGTTTTCTGATTGTAACATAGAAGACTATGGATTTCACTCTGAATACCACTCAAACTACATTCCACAAGATATAGAGAATTTTTATTATTATCCCAGGCAAAGAATAGATTTCAAATATGATTTCTTCTTTGGCTCAGTACATGTGTATCTTTATATTTCTAAACATAAGTTTTTTGTTTTGATTTTTAGTTATTTATATCTAAGGTAATTGAATGAGGGTCGGAGAAGGTGGTCTGTATAAAAGAGATTCTTGTTATTTGTTGAGACTTGCTTTGCCAAATGGTCTATTTTTATAAATATTCCATGTGGCTTTGAAAAGAATATTCCATGTGTCTGGCTCAGTTGGCAGAGCATGCAACTCTTGATCTTGGGGTCGAGAGTTCAAGCCCCATGTTGGGCATAGAGCATACTTTAAAAAAAAAAAACAAACAGAATGGGTATGCCTTAATTGTTAAGTGTAGCATACTATATAGACCTATTAAATCAAGCTTCTTAATTATGTTACCCAGATTTTCTGTAGCCTTACTAATGTTTTGTCTGTTTGATCACTTTTTATGGTAGTATATCAGAATCTCCTTATATGATTGAATTAGCCAATTTCTCCTAAAAATCTCTCAAATTTTATTTTTTCTATATTTTAAAAGTATGCGATAAGGCATGTGAAAAAAGGGCTGTTAATATCTCCTACTATAGCTGTGCATTTTTCTATTTTTTACACTTTATTTGTCTTACTTTTGGCTTTATGTATTTTTAAGCTATGTTATTAGGTACATGCAAGCTTAGATATACTGTTTTCACAGTGAATTGTTTCTTTAATATATATAGTTGACCCTTGAACAACACAGGTTTGAACTGTGCGGGTCTGCTTAAATACAGACTTTCCTCAATAAAGATGGTTCAGTACTGTGAAATTACTGTATATTTTCTCTTTGTTATTTTCTTAATAACATTTTCTTTTCTCTAGCTTACTTTATTGTGAGAATACAGTATACAATACATATAACATACAAAGTATGTGTTAATCAACTTTATGTTACCTATTGTAAAAATACCATATATATAATACATATAACATACAAAATATGTATTGTTATTTATTGTGAGAATATGGTATATAATACATACACAAAATATGTATTAATCGACTCTTTATGTCTTCCAGTCACAATAGGCTATTGGTGGTTAAGTTTTGGGGGAGTTGAAAGTCATACGCAGATTTTCAACTGCTCAGGGGGTCATCATCCCTAACCCCTGCATGGTTCAAGGATCAACTCTACACAAATGATCTTTAACCCTAGTACTTTTGGCTTTAAAGTCTGCTTTGCCTGTGAAAAATGTAACTACTCCAACTTCTGATTAGCATTTGCCTGGCATATCTTTTTCCATCCTTTACTTTCAACCTTTCTATGTCTTTAAGTTTTCGGGGAGTCTCTTACAGACAGCATATAGCTGGATCTTGTTCACTTATTTATTTGACTAGTAAGTTTTGTCCATTTATATTTAATGTGATGTTTTTAATGAAACTTAGGGGTGCAAAAATACATTAACCACAATCTCTGAGATTAACACACTGTCATCACTGGGTATATTCATGGCCTTATTTTATTTTGTTTTTTGATATTATGAACACCTGTAAACCTATTCAATTAGAGAACAAAAGCAGTAACAATGACTTACAACTACCTATATGCTTCTCCCCTATCTTTTCTTCCATCTGAAGTAACCACTAATCTCAATCTTGCATTTATTATTCTTTTGCTTCTTAAAAATTTTTATCAAATTTTTATCACATACTTGTTTAGAGTTATTATGAAAAATTTCTGAGGTTTATATTTTTTACCCAACATCCTATTACTATGATTCAGCTAGATTATTACATCTGGTTATAGTTCATTCTTTTTTTTTTTTTAAGATTTATTTATTTGAGAGAGCTAGAGAGAGCGAGCATGCACACACAGAGGGAGAGGGAGAAGCAGATTCCCATTGAGCAGGGAGCCCGATGCAGGACTCGATCCCAGGACCCTGAGATCATAACCTGAGCCAAAGGCAGATGCTTAGCGACTGAGCTGCCCAGGTGCCCTGGTTGTGGTTCATTCTTATTCCTGACTGTGTAATACTCTGTTTTACTGCTGCCACAGTTTATTTTGTCCATTCTTCTGTCACAGGACTTTGGGTTGTTTCAATTTTTTGCTGTTATGAGCAGCGCTATAATGAACATTCTTGTCCCCTGGTGCTTTGTGGGCAAGAATTTTTCTTTGGAGTGTTGACTGGGTCATAAGGTATGTACAAGATAATACTAAGCAGTTTTCCAAAGCGTTGTTTCAATTTGTGCTCCCACTAGCAACATGTTAAGAGAACCTATTGATCTACCAGTTACTAATGTTTTGGAATTGATGCCTTCAGTCCCATTTTGCACCTTTTGCTTATTTGCTTTCTCTTAAGTTTTTGTTTACTTCCTTCTTTTCTATCGAATTGACCAAGAATTCTTTGTTCCCCTTTCCTCTTAATTTAGAAGTTGTAAGTTCTATTTCTATTCTTTTAGTGGTTATTTTAGAATTTTTAACGTATGCACTTGATCCAACCCCACTACAACTATACAATAAGCTAAGAATGATTCTACTTCAATTATATCCTTCCTCATACTGTTATGTTGCTTGTTATTTTAGACCCCACCTGCTTTTAATACCCCTGAATTTAATCACTGTTGTCACTTTAGTTTTATGCAGTTCTTGTGTAGATTTGCCCATGTTTACCCATTTCTTCACATTTGTTTCTGGCCTACCATTCCTTTTTTCTAATTACCAGCCCTTTTCCTTGAAACATACCCTTTAGTATTACTTTCAGGGAGGTTATGTGAGTGACCTGCTTTCTCCATTAATATAAAATGGTTTGACTGCACTCTCATCCTTGAATGATGATTTCTCTGGGGAGAGAATCTAGACTGAAAGTTTATTTTACCCTCAAGACACATTTTGTTGTTTCTCTATTGTTGAGACGTTTGCTGTCATTCCTTTGTAGGGAATCTGGCTTTTCTTTCTGGTTTTAAGATTTTCTCTTTGTCTTTGGTTCCCTGCGGTCTTACCATGCTGTGTTCAGATGTGAATTTCTTTTTATTTACCTGGTTCAAGATTCATTGTACATCCAAAATCTCAGGGTTGGTGTTTTCTTATCAAATTTGCAAACGGTCATTGTACAAATCCTGTGTCCCCTACATTCTCTCTCTGTTCTCCTTCTGGTACCTGTATGAGGTGTATAATGTACCATCTCTTTCTAGGCAACATACCCTGAACCCTTCTCTCAGATTTTCCTTCACTTTGTCTCTCTGTGATGCTTCCTGGGCAATTTCCTCAGTTTTTTTCTTCAGCGATGGCTAATCTGCTGTGTAACTCACCCACTGAGCTTTTCATTTCAGTGGCTGTATATGTCATTTCCAGAGGTTCTACTTAGTTCTCTTTCAAATCTACCTTTTTAAAATACTGTTATTTTCTCATGGTCCAAATGTTCTTTTATGTCTTTCATAATTTTAAACTTATGTACTTTATAAGTCTGTCTGATAGTTCTGTTTCCTGAGGTTCTTGGGACACTTGTATCTATTACATCTTGGTTATGGTGGATTACATCCATGTATATTTTGTAGTTTGGAGTAGGGTCTGTATCTTTATCTTTGCTTTTCAGTTTTGGGGTTCCTGATTCCTGGATCATACAGATAGGGTAAATTCCAGCCCCAAATTTACATGAAGGCTGGGCTATAGTCCCAAATTCTCAGTGAAGACTTCTTTCTCCACTTTCAAGTCTTGCCAAGACAGTGAAATTTTCTTATCTTCCTGTGCCCCCAGGGAGATTTTTTTCCCAGTGAATTATTTCTAAAACGATTCATCCTTTTGAGGGTTCCAGCTTAATGTGGGGATCTCAGTACCACCTTCTCACTTTGAATGGGCCGAAGCCACAGTCTCCTTCCTGTGTGGATTTGCCCAAGACCAGCTCCATCTCCGCTTACTTGCTCATGATACTAACTGCCATTTCCCTCTTGCTTCTGGCACCGGGGGCCTGTCCTTACTGTCTCATGAGCTCATTGCAGTGGGTGTTTATTGCATTTTGACCAGTGTTTAGAGATGGGCTATAGTGGGAGGATGATTAAAATTATTTCATCTGCCATATTGCCAGAAGTGGAATTCACTTCTGTTTCAAATGTTTAATGTCTTCCATTGCAAATGCATTTTTTCTTAGAGTACTGTGGCACCTAAGATTTCTGACTAATTTCTCTCCTGAATAATCTTTTTTTAAATATTTATTTTAAATTGAAGTATAGTTGAACTTGTGAATAATCTTTTATGGGTGAGGTGGCATTGGCATTATCTCAAATGAGGCAAACATAGGTCAGTGCAGCTATCCATTCTAATCACCTGGAAACTTTAAAAAATACAGATGCTTGGCTCCATCCACAAGATTCTGATTTAATTGGTTGGGAGACCACCTGGGCAGGGGTCTTTGTTAAAAGTTCCCAAGTGATTCTAATGTGCAGCCAAGGCTAAACACAATTATTTAAAACATACTGATGAAAACAAGAAAGCCATAATGATCCCTGGGCTCTACCCCAGAATGTGTGATTTATTTTGCCTGGGGAGGGGCCCCAGGCATCATATTTTTCTGACATTTCCCTGATGATTGCAGGCTTGAGCACCATTGATTTTCCTGGGTGCATGCAGTCAGAGGGAGGCATTCAAAAAATGTTTGAGCTGGAAGCATGAGAAGTAATCTAGCTCAGCATATGCATATGCCTAACTGTCCATCTGACTCCCAAGGGCCTTTTAATTATAAAGATTCCTGGAGATTATTGGGGACCTGGGTAGCACAGTCGGTTAAACATCCAACTCTTGATTTTGGCTCGGGTCATGATCTCAGGGTCATGAGATCAAGCCCCGCATTGGGCTCTGTGCTGGGCATGTAGCCTGCTTAAGATTCTCTCCCTTTCCCTCTGTCCCTCTCCCCTCCGCCACATGCACATGAGCACACGTGCATGCGTGTGCACTCTCTCTCTCTAAAAAGAAATTTAAAAAAAAGATTCCTGGAGATTATAAGACCAGTGAGTCTTTCATTCCCCCGAGGACTGTGATGGGCAACTAAGTCTGGAAACCATTTAGCTAACCCATCTTGTTTTACAAAGGAGGAAACCATCCCCGAGAGAAGTGTTTTCTTCACAAAGTCACAGAGCTGATTCAGAGGATAGCTGACTCCTACCTTCCAGTCTAATGTCCATTTCATCCACTTCCAAACATAAAGCCCACTACTGCTTTTAGACAATCTTGGCCATTTTAAAGAGACAGTTTTTGAATTTGTGTGCAGTGACGTCAGGAATGTGGCGTTTACTGTTTTGCTTTGTTTTGCTTTGGCACAGCGGAGGGAAAATAAAACAGCCTGCCACCTGGCACGTAGGGTCATACTAGCAGCTTGGTGACCTTGAGCTGATCAGCCACCATCCATCTCAACTACCCCATCTGTAAATAGGGGGTCGTGGTGGTTTTAAAATATGACCACAACTTCTTTAGTACTCCTCTAAGAAGTGGAGCCTGGTTCCCCTCCCCCTGAGGGTCTGCCATCGTTGGTGACTGGTTTCTAATGAACAGCATGTGAGGGAAATGACAGTGGGTGAATTCCAAGGCTAGGTCACACAAGGCATCATGGCTCTCTCTCTTGGATCACTTACTCTGGGGGAAACCAGCTGCCATATCACGAAGACGATTAAGTAGCCCAATGGAGAGGCCCACATGGAGAAGAACTGAGGTTTGCTGCCGGCAACGTGATCTTGCCAGGATTGTGAGCTAGACACATTGAAGGCAGATCTGCCAGCCCTGGTCACACCTTCAGATGACTGCTACCCTGGCCTATGCCTTGACTACAACTTCATGAGAGACTTTGAGCCAGAACCTCCCAACTAAGCCATTCCCAATTCCTGACCCTCAGAAACTGTGTGAGATAGTAAAGACTTGTTGTCTGAAGCTACTAAATTGGGATAATTTGTTATCCAGAATAGATAACGAATACAGAGATACTTCAAAACGCACTAAAATAGAGCTGCTTACTTTATAGGCTTGCACCAGGATTCATATGCTAACATTTATAGAGTGTGTTAGTTAGACTCTGGCCAAATGAACTGCATATTAGATATAAAGTAGTGATTGTGTATTATTAATGTTATCAGATTGCAACACATTTCATGTTCAATTACCTAAAATGCTCTTTCTGGAGCATCGCTTTGCTCCTCATCTTATCCCCACTGCACACTTATAAAAGGTCACTGTCAAGATATAAAAGTATATATATGATTTAAATGTCTTGACTCAGTTGCTAACAACCGTGAGCATATTTTCAAATTGGAAAAGCAAGATTAATTTAAACTTGCTCTTTTTCACACAATGTACTTTGTTTATTTTTCAGGATTGCATTTCACTGCCAAGCCAAGTGCCTCTCTGATTAAAGAGTATGTTCACTTCATCTCTCGTAGTCTCTTACAAGCCTACTCTTAAGAATAGACATGGCAGACTTGGCACCAAAAAAGCAAACCATATTTTTACCAGAAACTATTTAGTGAAATGAGTTTTTATTCATGAAAACTTTACCAAGTATAAATTTCATGTCTGAAAGTAATGGGCCCTTTGTATTTCCCTTCAATAAATAAATAGCTTCTTTCCTCAAGAATTACAACTTCTGAGCATGCTCTTAAATTCAAAGCTAGTTTGTTTTCTTCCAAGAAAATGAAGATATGCATGTGCATACAGACCCTTCTTTGGTTGGTCCTTCTTCTAGATCTGTGTAAAATGGGAAAGCCAAGATGGTATCTTTCTTTTTTTTTTTAAAGATTTTATTTATTTATTTGAGAGAGAGAGAATGAGATAGAGAGAGAGCACGAGAGGGAAGAGGGTCCGAGGGAGAAGCAGACTCCCCGCCGAGCAGGGAGCCCGACACGAGACTCGATCCCGGGACCCCGGGATCATGAGCCGACCCAAAGGCAGCCACCCAACCGACTGAGCCACCCAGGCGCCCCAGATGGTATCTTTCTAACAGTCGTAACTGGAGATATAAAATATCTGGGAAGAACATGAACAAAGGCAGAGGGTGTGAGGCTGAAAGCGAAACTGGATTTTTCAAACACTCTTTACTTATCTAACATATAAATATCTTTATGTGTAATTTACTCCCAACATTGTCTGGTATACTTAGAGACATAAAAGTCTATTTAAACGAGGGAGAAAATGTGCTTCGCTTTGTTATTTCTTTCCCAGACCGGAGAGGGAAATGCAAAAAAAAAAAAAAAAAAAAGCTCCCTAATGGGGGGGGGGATGTATTTAGCCAAAATTATTCCTTTCTTCCTCTCCGTGCCCCCGGAGGACACGGGAATCGAGTGTGGTGGTTGAAGACTTCTCCTTTTTGTCCTCTCTGCCTTCCACGTTCCTCGTCCCAGCTCAAAATGATCACACCCAACCAGGGCAAATGCTGCTTACAAGTTCAGCTGAGTGAGAAAAAGTCAGACTCCTAATAAACGTCAGCGTCTTCTATGGAGTGACCGCAGCGAGGATCCTTCTAGAGGCGCGGACATCTTTATTCCTCAGGAGTTGTAAGAGGTGGTCAGTAGCTTGGGCTTGGGTGTGAGGCTGGCTCCAGCCCCTCTGGGTGGCAGCTCCCTGCAGGGGGACACCCTGTGCCATGCTGGTGAGCCCCCTCCCCGACCATGGCTCCCTTAGGTTGAGTGTGGGCATGGCAGGCATAGGAGAGAAGCCTCTGAATTAAACAGAAAGTTCCTGTTTTCACTGACAATATCCCAGAGCTGCTCTCCCCTGCAGCTGAAAACTGTTTAAACTGCCTTTTGTCATTCAGTCATCGTTATTCTTATACGTGTAGGTAAATATTTTATTAAGCGTCTCCGCTGTTTGGCAGTTAGGGAGGCCTTTGCCTGCTAGACCTGGCGGGCGCCCAGCGCTGCCCAGGAGGGTGGGAGGACAGCGGGCTCCCTGAACGCTCGGTGGTGTTAGTAGAGTGGTGGTCCTTTCCACCTGGAAACCATTTTCTCCTCTGGCCTCTTGGGCTTAATCTTCCATTTCTTCTCTCTTTTTTTTTTTAATCAGTTACCAATTTGGTCTTGATGAAAGGTGCCGGGGCCTGCAGGAGAAAATGGTTCTGCCTTTCAACTCCACCTGGAAATGGTTGACTCGGTGCCGCGGTCACCTTCCCTTACACCTCTGCACCCATTTGGGCACTTGCCCCATCCCCACCGCGCTCTGCCTTGCCAAAGAGAAACCTCGGTGTCACAGCTGGAAACCTGCAGTGGCCCCTCCACCCAGGCGCCCTCACACACACCGCAGTTATGTCTGGGACCTCCAAACATTCCCCTAGGCTTTCACCGTCTAGCCTCAGAGCCCCATCAGCTTGCCAGGTCGCCAGCAACCAGCTCCCAGCTCAACCCACAAAACCACCCGTTAGTTTGGACAAATGTTGGGTCCATTTCTTCAAAATCCTTAGCTGTTTATCATTTACCCAGTATTAGAGGTGGCCAAAACAGCAATAGGAAGCATGGCTGTAGTGTCATCCCATCATATCTCTGGGTCTTCTGGAGGCCAACGCGACAGGATCTGTTTCTGTGTGAGGAATTCCAACTTTGGAGGACCGTGGGTATGACGCCCTCTTCTGGTGGCTGTGGGGAACGCCTTCTTGCGCCTGTGCGTTTCAGTTCCCTCTGCTGGCGGAGGAGAGAGAAGCTGCCTCCCGCCTCCTGGCCCCAGATTCCAGAGCTCGGGGGCCCTGCCATCAAATTGTGAGACCCAAGCCCCACAGATCCTGAGGTTTCCTGAAGTTGAAACCGAGGCCCACCACGATAGTCCCGCACTGCAATTTCTACAGTTACCAATTCCAAGTGACTGAAAAATGAAGGGAAGGGTAGGGAAGGGAGAAAGCACGGTAACCTCCGAAGGGGGTTCAAATAGGCCGAAATCACATCTATGTAGCTACCCGTGGCATGGACACACAGAGACAGAGGGAAGAAAGGAATCAGAGAAAAGATCAGGAGTGCGGACAATAGAGGACAGACTTTACAGCGAATTGCTGAGTAAGACACTCGTGCTAAAAATAATACCACTTGGAGAGGGCATAAGAAACAAAAGTGTGGCTGTGCCCATGGGTGGGAGGAAGAAGAGGCTCTGCATATAAACACCCAGAATTAGAACAAGATGAAGAAAGGACCGTCACCCAAGCGGAGAAGGAATGTACGTAAGAATAATTTGAAGTGAGCCAGAAAATCAATTCTGTCACCATCCTCTCGCTTCTGTGGACCCGATGATGCTGGAGGCCCCCCAACAGTGGATGGCCACGCCTCTGGGTTCTGAGCAGGCCCCAAGACCCCATCACCCACTCAGCAGATGCCACATAAGAGAGGAGGGCGAGCCCTGGCTTTGTATCTTCTAGTCTGGATCACAGATAATCATGAACATTCAAAAAATCAATTGCCCAAGTGGTTGATGGGGAGGTCTGGCTTGACAGAAGGCGTTCACGAGGAAGACCCGGGGGGTTAGCTGATCACAAGCTTGATGTGAACCTACAGTGCAAGGAGGCTGTTGAGAACCCTAATGCAATCTCAGGCTCTATTAATAGAACGGCAGAGTGTGGAAGGAGGGAGGCCGTAATCCCAGTGCGTGCTGGCAGGTCAGGCCACATGCAGCTTTATGCTCAGTCCTGCAGGCTATATTTTAAGAGAGGCTCTGGCAAATTCGAGCCTGTTCAGAAGAGCATGAAAAGGACTGGATGCCAGTATTTAGACAGCATCGAGATTAGCTTGACAGTCCTTTTACAACTGGCAAAATCAGAATGCGTATTGCATTGAAGACAGAATCTCAGGAGCTAGGACTGAGAATCGGGCTTTCAGTGTTTACTTAGCCTCCCTGAGCCTGATGGGGTGCCCTTTCTACATAATGGGGATACTGCTCTCCCCCCGACCTACCTGCAAGCATAGTTTGAAGGACAGTCTGCTCAGCTGGGCTTGTTTACTGAGCATCTCCTTGCTGCCAACTCCCTGCCAGGCACTAGAGCACCAACAGGAGCTTGGAGTCTAGTCTGTGTTGGAGACACAGGCCCATAAGCAGGCATCTTGCATATAACATGACAGATGATAATAGGTACATGCACTGATTTGAAATGAGATGTAATTAATTTCTTATCAGGGAAGAATGACAAGAGAGAAAAACAACATCTTCAGGGCATATGTACTTGTAAGTGCAAAGGAAAAAAATTGCTGGAGGCCAGAGAGGAGGAGAGTCCATGAGTGAGGAAAGATTAGAACTGGAAAATTTCAGAGTCATGAAAGACTGTTGAAAGGTCTCTGCACTGTCAGGCGCCACCAAGAAATCCAGGAGGAAGAGGAGGAAAGCTGAAATATTTCCAGACCACTCCCTGGATGTGGAGGTTAGGCATTTCATCCTTAGTGGTCAAGAAACACCTTTTGGGAAAATGCTGGAGGCAGAGACGGACTTCATTTAGGACGTTTGTGGCAGGATGTCACAACTATGGAAGTTGGAAAAGCATAAGATTTTGTTGGAGCCCACTTCAGTAGTGACTGGTGAGTTAAGAGTAACACCTGTACATTCATTAGCGAAGAACAGAAGATTATTACACAAATTGTTCAGCGGGGTAAGGCAGACAGTGGTTTAAATGGCCAGTTGGTTGACCCATGATGTTCCTTATGCTTATGAAAGTGAGAAGAGGAAAAGATGGCGGCAGTACATTCCAATATGGTGAACCTGATCCTCGTCTTCCTCCTCCCCGTGTCCCTCGGGAAGTTTCCTTTCCTAGAAGTGTTCGGAAAGAATTCTTGGCTTAACATCCCTCATGTTTGCTCCCATTTTGTTATTTACCAGTGAAATTAATATTACTCTTTACCCTGCTCACATTCTAGATCCAACATGTGTTGTTTCATCAGTGGGTTTGTGTTTGGTTGATTAGTTGTTCATGAATAATGCAAGATGACAAGAGCTGTAATACAGAGAGATGATTGTGGAGAATACAGGCATACAAGCCCTGGGGTTGGCTTCTTTTTTTCTTTTCTTTTTTTTGGGGGGGGGGGTGTTGGTGGGGGGGTAGGCAGGTTAGTAAGGCTTTTGGATTACTTACAGATGGTTGAAATTCTCTTCTTCCCAAACTGGTGACTGAAGCAAAATTGGGGGAATTAAAGTAAATGTGCCCTTTGCCGTGCATCCCCCAGTCTCCTTGATCTGCATCATGAGTCCCTCATGGACTCCTGCATCTGTTCCCTACAATTGCTCACATCATTCGACCTTTCTGGACTTGAGTTTCCCCATCTGTATCACGTCCAATGTATCTTTTTCTATGTTGGCTTCTTTCACAGGCTAAATTTTTGCAAAGGGAATCCACCTCATAAGATGAGTTCTACCTCTAACTTACTCTCTGGGACTCCCCTTGGAGTAGCCAGAGAGGTCTCTATAGGATGCAAATCCAATCCCTCCAGTGGCTTCCCACTGCACCCAACCCCTTTGTATGGCCTAAAAAGCCCTATGTGATCTGATTCTGGCCTGCTTTTCCAATCTATATCATGCCATCATCCCCTACCATTTCTCAAACAAAATGAATGACTTTCGCTCCTGAGGCCCTTTGCATATGCTGTTCACCCTGCTTGGAATGTTCTTTCTCCACTC